GTTCAATTACAAGATTAATTATGACAACAACAGCAGTCGAACTTCCAAGCCACTTCGTCAACTTCACCACTTTTCACAACGCTTTCACGCTGTTCTCAACATATTATGTTTGTTCAATACACAAACAGCAATCGGTCAAGTATCACGGTAACTTTGCGAGCCTCCCGTCACTTAGCACGCTGTTCTCAGCAGATTACGGCCAACTGGTATGATAGTCTCCTTGTATTATTTACAAGTCTTTTTCACCTTTTCGAGCTTTCGGCTACGTGATTCGATACCACTACAATATCGGTCAAGTTTCCAGGCACCTTTGCTTTCATCAGGTTACGATCTACTTTTACCGACCTCAAAATTTAATTTTACTGAGTCAGACATATTGTACAATAATAAAATAACATATCTCGTAAACATTTGAGAATATTTTCACGGCTTTCCACAAAATACTATCGTCGACAGTATCGTCGCTGCGAGAAAAACATCTTAAATTGACATGCCATGTATTTGCTTGTGTGTGACAAAATTCAACAATAACACAAATTGTGCTCACTGGCTTGTTCAATTGATATTCCATGCAGGTACTAAATACGCTCAATATAGTTATAACTTTTATTTTTATTAAAAGACAGGGCCACAAATGACATAACGTGCAGGCGACAATAAATAACTGACTAAGGCAGTTTCATAATCATAGATTCGTATACCTAAACATTCAAGAAGTATCACTCAGATGGTCAAAATTGTCATCAGGAAAATATATTGACAATCTGTGCACCAAACTGTAATAATGGCAAAATTGTTGCACACGAAATGGCAGTAATTGTGGTCCAAGATTCCAGGTCGATGCAATATATTATCACAGAATATTGTATGATGGGTAATTGTAAAATTATTATCGTTTACATATATATATTGACATGTCTCCCGGAAAAGTTATGACTTCGTGACCTAGGTTCCAATAGGCTATACAATTCGGTTCTTGGCTGTTGAATACATGTAAACAATAAGGAAATTACTTCGTAGTTAATTAGAGATCGGTTGGAAATTTGACTTACAATTTACTAAAATGTCAGATATTTTGAAATGATCTTCATATATTATCGTGTCCGTTAACTTTCGTAGCCGGATTGCTAACAATTTTGAAATACTTGTGTAAGCTTTATTTAA